ACAGAGAGAAGTCTCCCCGGTTTTTGTAAGGAAAACAGCTGTTCGAAGCACTTTCATGCAAATGAACGCCGATGAAGAATAGGTCGGACGGGGGCTGGCGCTCTGGTTTGGCTTCGCCTCCCTCCCTCCTTCCTTTCTGCCTCACTTTTACGGCTCTCTATCGATCACCGGGGCTTGACAACAAAAGAAAGGACGGAACCGGGAGGGGAGGGGAGGGGGGCATCCGTTGGAGTGGCTTTGACACGGTTCTCGAAGGGGGGGGAAAGCCCCCGGGGGTGTCTTGGCCGCGAGAAGGAGGCTCTCCACGCTAGATCCCAGGCGCCCCTCGAAGTGGAGAAGGATGATAAAGACGCCGGAAGGAGCAGGAGGTCATTCGGGCACATTTGCCTTCCCAAAGATATTTTCCTTTTGTAGCCAGAGCTCCGACCTACACGTTTTCCCCTAAGATTCCCAACCAGGATCTCTTGAAGCTTCCAAACTGAAACACGCTTTGTTTCGCCCTTAAAACAAAGAAATAAAGTGTCCTTACTCTCAAGTAAAGGATCCCAATCCTGAGTTGACCTCGCTTTTGTTACGACAACATCATATACTTATTGGAACGATTCGAGTCTTGATTCGAAATAAGTGGATGTTCCTCTGAAAGTAGAAAACATAATTGACCCTTTCATAGGCCACCCCAAATCTGTGGAATGACCTGCCGAAAGACTTAGGGCCTTTCCACACAGCCCTATATCCCAGAATATCAAGGCAAAAAATCCCACATTATCTGAGTGTGGACTCAGATAACCCAGTTCAAAGCAGATATTGTGGGATTTTCTGCCTTAATATTCTGGGATATAGGGCTGTGTGGAAGGCCCTTATTTCCTCATGCGTACCCAGGGCCCAGAATAACGATAATCCACAGTATCTGCTTTGAACTGGGTCCACACTGCAATATAATCCGGTTCAATGTGGATTTTATACAGCTCTGTGGAAGGAGCCCCCGGTCAGTTTTAAACTATGGATTTTAGAATCACATTATATGTTTATTGTGTCATGTATGTTTGAATGTGTGCTGTTATGGATCTGTTTCCACTATGTTGTGCCCCGCCTGGAGCCAAAAACTAGAGCTGGGTATTAAATCAAATTGATTATTGTTATTTATTAGTATTATAATTCATAATACTAGAAATATTATTAATATAAATAGTATGGGTAATATTAATAATAAATAACGATAAATTTATTAATAATATTAATGTTATTATTAGTATTAATAGTATTAATAGTAATAAACAACACTAATAAATTTTATTATTGGGCTTTTCCCAAGAGCCTAGGATATAGCCCTTTGTTTTTTTCTTCTAATTATTATTATTATTAATAATAATAATAGTATTATTATTATTAATAACAATAATAATAGTCCGACGTGTGATCCAATACAACAGACAGCAGAGTGATCTTTTCTGATGTGGACTCATCTTGTTGTGTCTCGAAGAAGGAGAAGGAGAAGGAGAGCAAAGAGCTAAATCCTAGGTCCTTGGGAAGAGCCCGACATTCAGGGATGAATCCTAGACACTTGGATCTAATGTGCATGTGTGCTGTGATGTTAGGTACATGTAAATAATAATAATAATAGCAATAATAATACAGTGGGTTGCTGTGAATTTTCCGGGCTGTATGGCCATGTTGCAGAAGCATTCTCTCCTGACGTTTCGCCCACATCTATTGAGAGAATGCTTCTGAAACATGAGCATACTGTCCGGAAAACTCACAGCAACCTAGTGATTCCGGCCATGAAAGCCTTCGACAACATACTAATACTGTGGCTCACTATCAGTCAAATGGTACTGACTAGAGTTCTGGCCCACTGCGGATTTCAATCCACTCTCCTACTTTTTCTTGTCGCCCTTCTTCTTGGTGTCCGATTTTAAAAAGAGGGGCAAGGGGAGCAGAGAGGGGATTTGGGGGTCGGAAAAGAGGCCTCCCAACAGGCCCTGCGGCCCGAAATGGCTGTTGCCAGGCTCGACCCTTCGACGAGAAGGTTCAGAAAGTGTCCCGGCCTCGTCCACCCACGTCAGGAGTGTTTTCCCTTTTCCAAACTGAGACCGCGGGGAAAAAAATAACCCTGCTATTGAACGATTCGGGGCCCTGCTAAGAGGAGAACAGACTTTCTTCCAAGGGCGCTTTAAGGTAAAAGAGAGAGGCTGTCGAAAAGAAAACAAGCTTGGGCTGCGTTTGTGCATTGAACCGAGCGAGGGGGGAATCCGCAGCCTAGGAAAAAGTCAGGGAAGTGTTCTGATGCCGCTTTAAAGGTCGGTTTTGCTATCGATTTCCCTCCGGGGAGACGCTTTCCCGTGGGAGAGTGGGCTTTGCTGATAGCTAAGGAGTGGAGATATTCCTACAGAAGAGGAGGAAGAAGAAGAAGAGGAAGAGGAGGAGGAGGAGGAGAAGGGAGGAGGAAGAAGAAGAAAAGGAGGAGAAGGAGGAGGAGGAGGAGAAAGAGGAAGAAGAAGAGGAGGAAGAGGAGGAGGGGAAAGAAGAAGAGGAGGAGGAAGAAGAGGAGGAGGAAGAAGAAGAAGAAGGGAGGAGAAAGAAGAAGAGGAGGAGGAGGAGGAGGAAGAAGAAGAAGAAGAAGGAGAAGAGAAGGAGGAGGAGGAGGAGGACAAAGAAGAAGAAGAAGAGTAGGAGGAGAAAGAAGAAGAGGAGGAGAAGGAGGAGGAAGAAGAGGAGGAAGAGGAGGATCACTAGGGCGGCTCCGCTTCTCCCTCGAGGCCCCGGCGCTCTTTCTCTCCCGCCTCGGCCTTTCGCAAGAAGTCTCCTCCAGACGTCAATCTTCATCCCCTTTCAAACCTTCCGCCGTGGCAGCCGATTGAGAGACGGATTGGCGATAAAATTTCAATAATGCTCCTTCCTCCCCCCCCTCTTCCCCCCTCCCTTTCCACGCGCGCTTTCCATAAATCTGGCATCAACTCGGTCAGTCTCCCAGCCCTTCCTTTGATTGACGTTGACTCAGGAGCGAGCCTCAGGCTTTCCTCTTGAAGCCTGTCCGAGCGCATTTGACTCCAGTCCTGCGGAGTTTGACTTCTAAAGAGAGAGGGGGGGGGGGGGGGCTGAGATGGTACTTTGGCCTGGTCGATTTCCTCAGAAAACATGTTTTGGGGTGTGAAACGTCCCCGATTGAGCAGAATGGGGTTGGAAATAAGGGACAGGCTTCGACTCTAATGGCGCAAAGGTCGGGACAAGATAGGGAACGTTCCTCTTCCTCCTCCGGGTCACCCTCTTGGGCTCCCAAAACGCCTTCCCTGGGAGAGCGATTCCCTCTCTAAGCGGAAGGGCTCTTTTTTCCAAAGGGGAAGCCGTCCGTCCGTCTTTGCCCTGCCTTTCCTTTCCTGCCTGTCTCTGCCTCGGCTTCCTTGCCTCCCCTCCTCCCCCCTCCCTCCTCCGCCCGCTCTTTCTTCCTTCAAGTCGCACTAGGCTTGTAATCAGCAACAAAACCTGACATAAATCAAGGGAGGATTGACAGGGGCTGACAAATAACTGATTGATTGCGGTTGGGGAGCATTGACAACTGATGAAGGAGGAGAAGAAGGGCTCCCGATCGCGCGCGCCCTCCTCCCTTTCTCCCTCCCCCTCCTTTGAAAAGGAGAGGGGGCGGGGCTTCTGCGGCACGTGATTCGCGCTTCCACCAATCCCCGCGCGTCGCCTGTCAGTGTTGCCACCGCCGTCCGGGTGGGAGGGGCTTCGATTCATTTCAGTTCTCTAGTTGGAGTCGCGCTGGAAGAGAAGCTCAGAAAAGCTTGAAAGAATAAGAATATAAAATCGCAAAGTTTCATTTTTTTGCCGTGTCAGGAACAACTTGGTTTGAGAGAATTGGCCGTCTGCAAGGACGTTGCCCAGGGGACGCCCGGATGTTTGGATGTTTGACCATCCTTGTGGGAGGCTTCTCTCATGTCCCCGCAATGGGGAGCTGGAGCTGACAGAGGGAGCTCATCACAAAGTTGATGAGGGTGAGGGTGATTTCTTTTATTGGCGTCCCGAAGGAGTGAAAAAGTGCCTTTCCTAAGGCACTCAAAAGGGGGTCCCCAACTTTGCCTTTGTACTGTCAACACACACAGACATACACTGGATGCAAATATACATATATATAGGTAAAGGTAAAGGTTGTCCCAGGACATTAACTCCAGTCGTGTCCGACTCGGGTGTGGTGCTTATCTGCATGTCTAAGCCGAAGAGCCGGCGTTGTCCGTAGACACCCCTAAGGTCATGGGGCCGGCATGACTGCATAGTACATATACAGATAGATAGATAGATAGATAGATAGATAGATAGATAGATAGATAGATAGATAGATAGATAGATAGATAGATAGATAGATAGGTAGATCTATCTATATGTAGATAGATAGGTAGGTAGATAATATAGGTAAGTAGGTAGGTAGATAGATCTATATGTACATAGGTAGGTAGGTAGGTAGATAGATAATATAGGTAAGTAGGTAGATAGATAGATAATCTATATGTAGATAGATAGATAGGTAGGTAGATAATATAGGTAGGTAGGTAGATAGATTTATCTATATGTAGATAGATAGATAGATAGATAGATAGATAGATAGATAGATAGATAGATAGAAAGATAGTATAGGTAGGTAGGTAGGTAGGTAGATCTATCTATATGTAGATAGGTAGGTAGGTAGATAGATAGATAATATAGGTAGGTAGGTAGGTAGGTAGGTAGATAGATAGATAGATAGATAGATAGATAGATAGATAGATAGAGATAGATAGATAGATAGATAGATAGATAGATGCAGAGTGTCCAACGTGAGACACCAAACTGACGCCAAGCCCATCCATCCTGCCCTTAAAGAGACAGAGTCGGAGGAGGGGAAGCCGAAGAAGAAAGAAAGGAAGAGAAGGAAAGAAGGGAAGAAAGGCCATTAAAAGACAGGCAGACAGGGCGGGAGAGGCGGCCCCTGAAAGGGAGGGAAGGAGGGAAGGGAGGGCGGTGGAAAAGCCCCAGAAGAAGGGGGCGGTGACGTCACATCCCCTTGACCCTCCAATCACCTCGGGGTCCCATTTGATTGGAAGGCGGCAAAGGCTTTAATCTCCCGACTAATTCAGCTGCCTTTTGAAGTGAGCTGCCTTCGCCAGAGCCGAGGCGGGCTGGGCAGCGGAGGAGGAGGCTCGCAATCCTCGCAGCGGAGGAGGAGGAGGAGAGAGAGAGAGAGAGAGAGAGAGAGGAAGGCCCGGCCTGGCTGTGGAGAGAGAGAGAGCGAGCCGAGTGGAACCTCTTGCTGCCTCTCCCAGTTGCCTGCCTTTGGAGGAGTCGGTCCTATACTATTTCCCCCCCCCCCCCCCAGCGGGAGAGAAAAGAGGGGATCGAGCCCCCCCCCCCTCTCTTTGCTTCGCCTCCCTCCCCGCCAGCTTTCAATGCCAGGCTTTGGGTCATGATTACATCCCCCTCGCTTTCTGCCGTAAGAAGTAGTCAGCACGGAGGAGGAGGAGGAGGAGCAGCAGAGGCGGCGGGAGGAGGAGGAGGCGGAGGAGGCGCCAGAGATCTCGGGAACAGCAGCAACAGCAGCAGCAGCGTCGGCTGCGATCTTGCGTGGCCAGGCGGACACTCGGGGGATACGACCTACGGAGGAGGAGGAGGAGGGAGCAGCCTTGGCAGTAGCAGCAGCAGAAGCAGGAGCAGCGCCCCGGCGGGCCAGCCTTTCTTCCACGCCGTGCCCCCCTCGGACCCTTTGCGCCAGGCGAACCGCCTCCCCATCAAAGTCTTGAAAATGCTCACGGCGCGGACGGGGCACATTTTGCACCCCGAGTACCTCCAGCCCTTGCCTTCCACGCCCGTCAGCCCCATTGAGGTAAGGAAGGGGGGGGGTGCGGGTCTGTGATCTCTGGGAGCCCTTGTGCAGGGAAATGCGGCCTCCAAACCCCACTTTGGGTCCCGGGAGTCAGCGGAAGTGGTTGCGACGCGACTTTCTCGCAGTTCTCCCACCCGAGCTTCCCTCCTTTGGAATTCGCAATGGAATCCAGAGGTTCGCCCTCTTTCCCCTTCTCTCCCCCCCCCCCCCACTCCACGCCCCACCCTTGTGTGGGTTTTGTAATCCAGCGCCCTGAAGTCTTTCCCAATAGGTGGGGTGGGAGGAAGGGAGTCTGTGTCGAGTTGTTCTCAGGGGGAACCGCCCGGGACCCGAGTCTCTGTGCTGCCATAGGGAGACGAAGGGAAGGGGGGGTGTCGGGGGGGGGGGTGTTAAGCTCCAGGGTATGGCTTTGGGACTCGGCTTGGGAGGCAAGGAAGGCGGCCGTAGGAGCCAGCAAAGCCACCTTGAGTCCTTACAGGGAGAATGGCGGCATATGAATACAGTTATTAATAATTATTAATAATAAATATAATGATAATAACAACTTTCAGCTTGGGAGGCGAGGAAGGCGGCCGAAAGAGCCAGCAAAACCACCCAGAGTCCCTACAGGGAGAATTGCGGCATATGAATAAAGCTATTAATTATTATTAATAATAATAAATATATTATATATTATAATAATCTTGATAATAACTTTCAGCTTGGGAGGCGAGGAAAGCGGCCGAAGGATCCAGCAAAGCCACCCTAAGTCCCTACAGGGAGAATGGCGGCATATCAATAAAGATTAATAATTATTATTAATAACAAATATATAATGTATTATAATATTAATAATAACTTTCAGCTTGGGAGGCGAGGAAGGCGGCCGAAGGATCCAGAAAAGCCACCTTGTGTCCCTATTAATAATAATTATTATTAATAAATATATAATATAGTATAACAATATTAATAACTTTAATATATTCCATTCTAAAACTCACTTTCCCCACCCCAAAAGGCTGGATTGGAGGGGAGCAAAAGAGAGGCAAGGTTAATTGTTCTAGAGGCTGGATCTACGCTGCCCTATATCCCAGGATCTGGACCAAGATTATTTGCTTTATATGAGTCTCCACTGCCAAGGGATAAGGAGATAATCTGGGACCAAATCTAGGGATATAAAACAGTGTGGAAGGGATCTTAAAATCTTCGGTGTGTCTCATGTCGTTTGGCTACTGATACTGAAATTAGGGTCGTCTTCCAACTGAAAAAGGCGGTCAATAAAGTTGATAGAAAGACCCCTTCCACATTGAACTGGATTGTGTGGCAGTGTGGACTCAGATAATCCAGTTCTAAACAGAGATTGTGGATGATCTGCCTTGATATTCTGGGTTATATGGCTGTGTCAGAAGGCTGTAAGAAGTAATATTAGGTTCGAAGCCAGAAAGGTTTCTTGAGTGGACAATATAATGGGGTAAAAAAAGGGTGGGCCCAGGTCATATAATCCAGATTATAGAAGACAACAACCCCACAATTTCTGCTTTGAACTGGGTTATATGAAGGCCCTTCCACGCAGCAATATAACCCAGAACAACAAGGCAGAAAGTCCTACAATATCTGCTTTGAACGGAGTTATCTAAGGCCCCTTCCACACAGCTGAGTAAAAATCTGCTTTGAACTGGAATATATGGCAGTGGGGACTCAGGTAACCCAGTTCAAAACAGATATTGTGGGATTTCCTGCCTTGATGTTCTGGGATATAGGGCTGTGAGAAAGGGTCTGAGTCCACATCGCCATGTAACCCAGTTCAAAGCAGATAATGTGGGATTTTATACATCTGTGGGGAAGTTCGAAGCAGATAATGTAGATTTTCTGCCTTGATTTTCTGGGGCGCCCTTTATCCCAAAATATCAAGGCAGGAAATCCCATAATATCTGCAAGGCAGAAAATCCACATTGTCTGAGTGTGGACTCAGATAACCCGCTTCAAAGCAGGTATTGCGGGATTTTCGACCCTAATATTCTGGGATATAGGGCTGTGTGGAAGGGCCTCAAGTCCACACCGCCATATAACCCAGTTCAAAGCAGATGATATGGGATTTTATGGGGAAGGGGCTTCATATCTAGTTCAAAACAGATAATATAGATTTCTTGCCTTGATTTTCTGGGGCGCCCTTTCACACAGCCCTATATTCCAGAATAGCAAAGTAGAAAATCCCACATTATCTGAGTGTGGACTCGGATAACCCAGTTCAAAGCAGATATTGTGGGATTTTCCGCCATAATATTCTGGGATATAGGGCTGTGTGGAAGGGCCCCGAGTCTGCCATCTAATCTATTTCAAAGCAGATGATCTGATTTGTATATGGTAGTGTAGAAGGGGCGTTAGGAACAGAAAGTTGACTGGGGTGGCCGACCGGGTCTGTCTGGGCTTGTTTTCTGACTCTGGTCCCTTGTCTCTTTCCTCCTCCTCCTCCTCTTCCTCCTTCCGGGGATTCCCTTTGCAGCTGGACGCGAAGAAGAGCCCCTTGGCGCTCCTGGCGCAGACCTGCTCCCAGATCGGGAAGCCGGACCCCTCGCCTTCCTCCAAGCTCTCCTCGGTCACTTCCAGCGGCGGCGACAAAGAGTCCAGCAAGTCGGGCCCTCTGAAGCTCAGCGACATCGGGGCGGAGGACAAGTCCAGCTTCAAGCCTTACTCCAAGCCCGGCGCGGACAAGAAAGAGTCCTCTTCGGGGACGGGAGGCTCGGGCGGAGGAGGAGGCGGAGGAGGCGGCGGCGGCGGCGGAGGCGGCGGCGAGAAGCCGGGCTTCCGGGTGCCGAGCGCCACCTGCCAGCCGTTCACGCCAAGGACAGGCAGCCCCACTTCCAGCGCCTCGGCCTGCTCCCCTGGACTCCTCTCCGGCGACGGGGGTAAAACCGAGTCGGCGGAGAAGAAGGACAGCAACGGCGAGAAGGGAGGCACGGAATCGGCGCGGATTACAGCAGAACTGAGCCAAGGCCACGACACAAACGCGAAATCCCTCCTCGGGGGCGCCTCCTCGTCGTCGTCTTCCTCCTCCTCGTCGGTTTCCTCTGTCTCCTCCGCCTCGTCTCCTCCGTGCGGAGGCGGCGGCGTGGTGAGCTCCTCCTCGGTGCTCAGCTCGGGCCTGGTGGCCCCGGTGTCGCCCTACAAACCAGGACAAGCCGTTTTCCCGCTCCCCCCACCGGCTGGGATGAGTTACCCAGGCTACGCGAGCTACGCGCCTCAGTTCCTCCCCCCCGGCGTGGCTTTGGACCCCACCAAGCCCGGTTTGGTGGGCACCTTGAGCTGCGGCGGGAGCAGCAAGACCTCCGGCTCGAGCCCTTTAGCGGGCGCGTCCCCGCCGTCGGTGATGACGGCCAGCCTCTGCCGCGACCCGTACTGCTTGAGCTACCATTGCGCCAGCCACTTAACCGGCGCCGCTGCCGCCGCCTCCTGCGCCCACGACGCGGCGCTCAAGCAGGGCTACCCGCCCCCGCTGGTCTACCCGACGCACCCGCTGCACGCCGTCCACTCCGGCGGGGGGCCGCCCTCCTTAGCCGGGCACCCTCTCTACCCGTACGGCTTCCTGCTCCCCAATGACCCCCAGCCGCACATCTGCAACTGGGTCTCGGCCAACGGGCCCTGCGACAAGCGCTTCGCCTCCTCGGAGGAGCTGCTGGGCCACCTGCGGACGCACACGGCCTTCCCAAGCGCCTCCTCGGCGGACAAGCTGCTCGGGGGTTACCCAGGCTCCAGTTCCTTAGCGGCGGCAGCAGCAGCGGCGGCCATGGCGTGCCACATGCACAGTCTCCCCTCTGCCGCTTCTTCCGGCGGCCCGTCCGCGTTGGCGGCCCTCCGCGGCCCGCACCACGCTTTGGGACTCAGCAGCCGCTACCACCCTTACTCCAAGAGCCCGCTCCCGGCCCCCGGGGCCCCGGTTCCCGTCCCTGCCGCCGCGCCTTCCGCCGCCGGAGCCTACTACTCCCCTTACGCGCTCTACGGGCAGAGACTCACCACTGCTTCCGCCCTGGGATACCAGTGAGTTGACTGGCGACGACTGGGGGGGACTTTGCTGGGCTTTGGAGGGCGGGCGGAGGGACATCGTGGGGGTCTTGGACCTTTGGAGAAGGAGATACAGACAGAGATAGGCATCTCTAAGTAAGCAACATCTCTCACAAACAAGACACACACCAAGCCTCCTTCCCTCCTTCTTTCCCTAACTCACTCTCGAGTGAGAATAACATTGCAATTGGGACTCCTTTTGATATATATATAAATATAAAGAGAGTGTTCATCGTCAGGACTGGATCCATGGGCACTGTATTTATTTATGTTAGCTTCAAGCGGGACAGCGACTTCGAAACGACGACAACAACAACAACAACAAAAGTGCTTTACTTTAACTTCGAATATTCTTAAAGGAAGACCGACGGGAAAATAGTAATAAGAATGATTGATGATGATGATAATGATGATGATGATAAAAGTGGAGGAAACACCCTTGTTGTAGAATATAAACAAATCAATAATAATAATAAAAAAGGAAACAAAAAATTTATAGAGCTGTTCTTGTTACTTTCCAATTGCTATGATTGTATTGTATGTCTCATTGGGGGTGGGTTGGGAGGAAAAAAAATACCCCTAAATGCATGTTTCTTTTTTTTTTTAAGAGTCCAGTTTGCCCACTCAATTTGCAATTATTATTAATTTTTTGGAAGTTGTGTGCCACTACAAGCAATTAATTGGTATTATAATAATTATTATTATTTTACTGACACAAAACTACAGTATATCATAGCAAACGAGATCTATATGCTGGATTTCGTATCACAAAATCACAAGTCGAACACTTCCCAAGCGTCTAGGACTGTGTGATTTTATTATTATTATTATTATTATTATTATTATTATTATTATTATTATTTGTCGAAGACTTCCCAAGCGTCTTCCCAAGGACTGTGTGATTTATTATTATTATTATTATTATTATTATTATTATTATTATTATTTTACACACAACAATGTGACTCCACAACAGACACTCTGCTGGCTGTTGTATTGGATCACACGTAGGACACTTCCCAAGTGTCTAGGACACTATTATTATTATTATTATTATTATTATTATTATTATTGGTATGTCTTCAGGAAGAAAAGAATCCCAAGGACAAGGCTCTGGGCCTTTCCACACAGTCCTATATCCCAGAATATCAAGGCAGGAAATCAAGGCACAATATATGCTTTGATGATGATGATGGTGATGGTGATGATAAATAATAATAATAATAATAATAATAATAATAATAATAATACATCACACAGTCCTAGATGCTTGGGAAGTGTTCGACTTTGTGATACAAAATCCAGCATATAGATCTCATTTGCTGTGACATACTGTGTTTTTGTGTCAATAATAATAATAATAATAATAATAATAATAATAATAATAATAATGTTTATTTGGAACCTGGATCTACACTGCCCTGTATCTCAGGATCTGGGATATATGAGTGGAGACTCATATAATCCAGTTCAAATCAAATAATGTGGAATCAGACTCTGGGATATATAGAGCACTGTGGATCCACCATCATACAATCCAGTTCAAAGCAGATAACCTAGGACCATACCCTGGGATATAGGGCAGTATAGATCCTGCTTTAGGGCCTTTCCACACAGCCATATAACCCAGATTATCAAAGCAGAAAATCCCACAATTTCTGCTTTGAACTGGGTTATCGAGTCCACACTGCCATATAATCCAGTTCAAAGCAGAAAATGGGGGATTTTATTTAGCTGTGTGGAAGTGGCCTGTGTCTTAAAAAAAGTTCCCTTTACCTGAAAAAGCTCCCTTTGCCTTATTTTGGTTCTTCTTAAGGAACACTTAACTATTTTTTAATTTTTTCCGTCCACCCTGTCTGTGGAAGGGGCAGAAACAGGGATGACGTCATGTATTTCAAATGTATTGCTTTCCAAGATTAAAAGTTCGATATATTTGATCTATTCCAAACCAGATTTTACCTTTTTTCCCTTTGGAACTCACCTTCAGGGGACTTGTGATAATAACAAATACAACCTGGGCTTTAGAGGTGGGCGAGGTGTTCACTTTGAGTCAATTCAATCCTCAGAAGAATGCTTTCAAGTTTGGTGACCACCCCATGTTTTTTTCCCTCCCCTATAACTGGCAAAAAAAGTGAATGCATTTCGTTTCGTATTGCTGTTGTTGTTCTTCTTCTTTACCACCTCCATTAGAAGGGGCTGTTTAAATGGTAAAACCCGGTTTAAAACGCCGAAACAACGCTTTGGATTATTGCTAGCAAAGAGCAGAAAAGCAGAAGAGTTCTCCGACTTCTTTGGGAGAAGTTTCGGCGTCCGAAACGAAGCGAGTTCGATCGACTTTCAGGTTGGAAACTGGGCTCAGGTTTTTCCCCCCACGTCCCTCCAAAGAGTGCTTTCTTTTGGGGTTGTTTCCTCTTCCTCTGTTCCAGTAAACGCCCCTCAAACTGAGGCACAACCGACCGAAAAGATCCGGTTTTTTAGTTTGTGTTCGTTTGTGTCGGATGAGGTGAACTCTGCATTCCATTCAGCCACGCAGATGGGGACTCGGGAGAGAGAGCTTGCAAACCCATGCCTTTGCTTTTCACTAAAAGACGGAATCATACATGGAATTGAGGGGAAATGTTTCCAGCCTTCAATCCGGATCCCACTTTCTTTCCGAGGGCTCAAAAGCCAAAAACAAGGCTCCGGAATGAGCCGGAAGGAGAGCCGCTTGCCTGCCTTTGACTGGGTCTGTCCTGTCAACAAGAATGCAATTTGGACTCCACTCTATGGTCAGCCGAGAGCCACACAACACAGCTTGAACTCCATTCTTTCCATGGGTCTATACTGACCATATCATTCAGTCCAAACTGCATTATTCGGCAACCTCAACACATCTCAAAGGCTGGATCTACACTGCTCTATATCCCAGGGTATGGTCCCAGATTATCAGTTTTGAGCGGGATTATATGAGGATGGATCTAAACTACCCTGTATCCCATGATTATTTGTTTTTAACTGGATTATATGAGTCTCCACTGCCAGATAATCTAGGATCAGATCCTGAGGCCCTCCATGCAGCTAAATAAAATCCTACATTGTCTGCTTTGAACTGGGATATATGACAGTGTGGACTCAAATAATCCAGATTTTGTGGGTTATTCTGCCTTGATATTCTGGGTTATATGGCTGTGTGGAAGGGCACTAGGATATAGGGCAGTGTAGATCTAGACTCTAAATCAAGCATTATTATTATTATTATTACTACTATATAAATCAGTGTGGATCTGGGCTCTAAATAAAGCATTATTATTATTATTATTATTATTATTATCATCATCATCATCATATAGGGCAATGTAGATCTGGGCTCTAAATAAAGCACTATTATTATTACTATATAAGTCAGTGTGGATCTGGGCTCTAAATAAAGCATTATTATTATTATTATTATTATTATCATATAGGGCAATGTAGATCTGGGTTCTAAATAAAGCATTATTATTATTATATAAGGCAGTATTGATCTGGGCTCTAAATAAAGCATTATATTATTATATAGGGTAGTGTAGATCTGAACTCTAAAGCATTATATCATTATTATTATTATTATTATTATTATTATTATTATTATTATTATTATAAAAGGCAGTGTACATCTGGGCTCTAAATAAAGTATTATTATTATTATTATTATTATTATTATTATTATTATTTAGGGCAGTGTAGATCTGGACTCTAAATAAAGCATTTTATTATTATTATTATTATTATTATTATTATTATTATTATTATTATTATTATTTAGGGCAATGTAGATCTGGCCTCTAAATAAAGCATTATATTATTATTACTACTATTGTATGAGGCAGTGTAGATCTGGTCTCTAAATAAAGCATTATATGATTATTTTTATAATATAGGGCAGTGTAGATCTGATCTCTAAATAAAGCATTATTATTATTATTATTATTATTATTATTATTATTATTATTATTATTATTATTATTATTATTATATAGGGCAGTGTAGATCCAGCCTCAGAGTATGTTTGATTATGTATTGAGTTGCATAGAAAGGCAAGCTCAAAAGAAAATTCGTGATTGTGGTGGTCAGATCACACTATAACCTAAGATGGTCTAGGAAATACCCCTATTTCTTCACTTATAAAACGCACCTTCTTTTCAATACCACCAACAAAAACACTTAAGGTACACCTGCGATTCTAAGAGGCACCCCATTTCCAGAGATGTTCCTATATTAGGGGAGAAGTGCGCCTTAGAATGGAAGAAATGCGGTGTTATCTCCTTCTTGTGAAAGTGCTAGGCCTCAAGGGCGAGGCCAAAGGGGGCTGTCAGTGTTTGGAGAGCATTGGGGCGGGTGAGAAACACCCCAAAGCCCCCCTCCCCTTTTAAGGCCCTCCGTGGGTGGGATGGGAAAACCAAGAGGGCGAAAGGAAACCACACAAGACCTATTCCTAATTTAAACGGCACCCCGAACTCTCCTGCTCAGTTGGAAGCTGAGACTGGTTTCTTTTGCGGTGCTGGGATAAGAAAGCACTGGGCTGGACTGGGATACGGGTGCCTCCCCCCTCCCTTTTTGCCTTTTAAATGTTTGCTTGTTTGTTTGTTGTTATTTTTCCAGGCATTTTCATCGAGGTGTTCTCAAACCAACAAAACTAGTAGTAGGGAAAAGAATAATAGATTCTGGACAGGAGGCAACCAATGTGGATACTGGTTTTCCACTTTGCAATAAGAATTTTTGCCCCATTATTATTATTATTATTATTATTATTATTATTATCATTAGTAGTAGTAGTAGTATTTTACTGACACAAAAACATAGCATGTCACAGCAAATAAGATCTATATGCTGGATTTCGTATCACAAAAATCACAAGTCGAACACTTCCCAAGTGTCTAGGACTGTGTGATGTATTTTCCTATTATTATTATTGTTATTATTATTACTACTACTATTATTATCATTTTACTGACACAAAAACATAGTATGTCACAGCAAATGAGATCTATATGTTGGATTTCGTATCACAAAATCACAAGTCGAACATTTCCCAAGCGTCTAGGACTGTGTGATTTATTATTATTATTATTACTATTATTATTATTATTATTATTACGATTGCTATTATTATTTGATTGACACAAAAACATAGTATGTCACAGCAAATGAGATCTATATGCTGGATTTCGTATCACAAAAAATCACAAGTCTAGGATTGTGTGATATATTTATTATTATTATTATTATTATTATTATTATTATTATTATTATTATTATTATTATTATTATTATTATTATTAGTTGCCGCTCCAACCCCGCATTTATAGCATTGCAGTGGTTTTCAAACTTGGCTTGTTCTTTTAGGCTGGTCCCTTCCACACAGCAGATTAAAATCCCAGATTATATGCTTTGAA